TGCCAGACTCCAGGGATACTGAATGAATAGGAAAGAGTCCCTGTCCTCAGGGGTGCCAGGCCTAGGTCAAAGCAGGCACATGCCTGCGTAACTCTGATGAAAAGAGATAGTGCTCTAGTAGAGGCTCATGCAAGACACTGTGGGGATAGAGCCTTCTGGTTGGGGGGCAGAGACAGTTAATTGCAAGCAACAGAAACTGCCTTGAGCTAACTTAACTGAAATGGATTCATGTTAAGGATACTGGATTCTCCAGGAACTCAGCTGCAAGGTGTTCAGCTGGGCCTCTTGCAGAAACCCCAGAGTGAAAAAGCTATTTCTCGATCTCATTCCCTCTGCCCCCACCCCCTCCCAGTATCTTGTCTCTGCATCTCTCTGCAGGACGGTGCCATTTTATTCTGTAATGCTCTTGGTTCCTAGTTCCCCCATAGCTTCAGCAGGCAGGCAGCTTTGGAAGATACCAGCTCTGCACCAAAATCTAGAGGGTCCCATGTCTCTGGTGCCTAACATGGCCTACTAGCTCAACATCAAGTGCTGGGAGAGAAATCCCCAATTGGCTCCACTAATCCAATCATTTGTGCCCAAGGAGCTTCCCTTTTCTGGGCTGCTGGTGGGTGGGGTAACTTCTTTGAGGAGAGGGAGAGGGTTGAGAAGACATGATGGGCAATTCTACCTCAAGAGGGGATGAGAGAATAATTCTGGCTGGGGATGATAAGGGGCTTCTCAGGGCAAATGGAATTTGCATTGGCATTTGATGATTAGAAGAGTGTTCTAGAAGGGTATTCTATTCAGAAGGAGGCAAAAACTCAGAAGTTGGAAATCCAACAGAGTTTAGGGAAATTGAGACCAGGATGGCTGGAGGAGGGTTGTATGAATAGCATTGGTGCAGGGAGGAGGGAAGGGAGATGGAGGTAGGACAATAAAATAGACAAGAACCAAATTATGGAGGGTTTGAATGCCAGGGCAAGTTTGGATTCTATTTTGCAGTCGATGTCAAGTCTCCAAAGGTTTTTAAGGAAGAGCATGGCATTAACACTTTTCATTCTATCTCCTCCACCTACAAGCCTCAACCATAGATCAAGCCAACTGTCTACCTCTTCCCCTCTGCATCTCTAAATGTGTGCTCTTCATTCTCATTAAGGCCCTCAAGGTAACCCTGACATTTTTCTCCACTGCCATAGCCAGCATCTTCTCCCATGTCCCACGACAGGGCCATCACACCTTGACCAGTCTCAGCCTTTCACCGTGCTTAGGAGAGGACGTTGCCTCCCACCTTTGGGAGAAAGCAGAGGCCCTTAGGCTGGCCTTTCCTCAGCTCCTTGCTTCCCTGGTCCAAGCCCACCTGCGTGACGCTCCCATCTTTTCCTGCTTCTCTTCCATGGCAAAACACAAAACAAAACAAATACAAAAACAAAGCAAAAATCTTTTTGTGCAAGGGCGATCTACCTACTTGTGCTGTGGATCCCACCCGCCTCCAGGGTCTACCTCCTCTCCCTCGGCATAAAAACCAGAGGCACTCTCTCCAGTCTTAAAAAATGAAAATGAAAAAAGCCAAAGAACATCCTTCAAGTTCCCCCCTTCACCATTTTTTCTCTCTTACCTACAGAGTCAAGTTTTTAAAAGGAGTACCAGTTCTCTCTGCTTGCTTCCTTCCATCACCCACTGTAAACCAAC